GCGATTATATCTGAAAAAAGTCATGGAAGACTGGAAAAGGGCAAATATAGTGCCAATCTATAAAAAGGGAAATAAGGACAAACCTGGGGAATTACAGACCAGCCAGCTTAACTTCTGTACCCAGAAAGTTAATGGAGCAAATAATTAAGGAATCCATTTGCAAACATCTAGAATAAGGTGATAAGTAACAGTCAGCGTGGATTTGTCAAGAACAAATCTTGTCAAACCAACCTGATCGCTCTGACAGGGTAACAAGCCTTGTGGATGGGGGGAGGGGGGGGAGCGGTAGACGTGGTATATCTTGACTTTAGTAAAGCTTTTGATACTGTCTCGCATGACTCTCTCATAAACTAGGGGAAAGCAATCTAGATGGAGCTACTAGAAGATGGGTGCATAACTGGTTGGAAAACAGTTTCCAGAGAGTAGTTATCAGTGGTTCACAGTCATGCTGGGAGGGCATAACAAGTGGGGTCCTGCAGGGATCAGTTCTGGGTCTGTTCAATATCTTCATCAATGATTTAGAACAGTGGTTCTCAACAAGGGGTCCAGGGTCCCCTAGAGGGCCATGAGCAGGTTTCAGGGGGTCCACCAAGCAGGGCCAGCATTAGACTCGCTGGGGCCCAGGTCAGAAAGCTTCAGCCCCACCTCATGGGGCTGAAGCCTGAGACCTTGAGCCCCCACCACCCAGGGCTGAAGCCAAAGCCTGAGCAGCTTAGCTTCACAGGGGCCCCTGTGGCATGGGGCCCCAGGCAACTGCCCCACTTACTACCCCTAACACAGGCCCTGACTTATATATGCAGAAAACAGGTGGGCCGTGGAATTTTTAATAGCATGTTGGGGGGGCTCAGAAAGAAAAAGGTTGAGAACCCGATTTAGATAATGGCATAGAGAGTACACTTATAAAGTTTGCAGACAATACCAAGCTGGGAGGGGTTGCAAGTGCTTTGAAGGATAGGATTAAAATTCGAAATGGTGTGAAGTAAATAGGATGAAATTTAACAAATGCAAAGTACTTCACATAGGAAGGAACAATCAGTTGCACACATACAAAATGGGAAGTGACTGCCTAAGAAGGAGTACTGCGGAAACCGATCGGGGGGGGAGGGGGGAGATAGTGGACCACAAGCTAAATACGAGTCAACAGTGTAACACTTAAAAAAAAAAAAAAAAAAAAAAAAAAATGATTGTGGGATGTATTAGCAGGAGTATTGTAAGCAAGACACGAGAAGTAATTCTTCTGCTTTACTCCGTGCTGATTAGGCCTCAACTGGGAGTATTGTGTCCAGTTCTGGGTACCACATTTCAGGAAAGATGTGGACAAATTGGAGAAAGTCCAGAGAAGAGCAACAAAAATGATTAAAGGTCTAGAAAACATGACTTATGAAGGAATATTGAAAAAATTGGGTTTGTTTAGTCTGGAAAGGAGAAGACAGAGGGGACATGATAACAGTTTAAGTACATAAAAGGTTACAAGGTGGAGGGAGAAAAATTGTTCTTAACCTCTGAGGATAGGACAAGCAGCAATGGGCTTAAATTGTAGCAAGGGAGGCTTAGGTTGGTCATTATGAAAAGCTTTCTGTCAGGGTGGTTAAGCACTGAAATAAATTGCCTAGGGAGGTTGTGGAATCTCCATCATTGGAAATTTTTAAGAGCAGGTTGGACAAACACCTGTCAGGGATGGTCTAGATAATACTTAGTCCTACCACGAGTGCAGGGGACTGGACTAGATGACCTCTCGAGGTCCCTTCCAGTCCTATGATTCTAATGTCTAGACTTAAACATTTAAGAAGTTTCAGCATTGTCAAAATGCCTCCATTTAACATTTTCAAAATAAAACAAACAAAAATCAGTTTTCTGATTTAAAAGGACTTTAAAAAATTAAGCAGATTAAAAATTTCAGAAGCCATGGTCAATCATTTTAGAAAATTATCAAAACAATGTTTTGGTTGATTCAAACCAAGTTTGTTTGTTTTTTTTAATCCAAAACAGATTGACTCTGTCCCAATATAGGATGAGAGGAGGAAGTTTTTCACACCCAGCTCTAATTACAAATGAACTGGAAAGTAGTTCATTATCCTCACTTGTGAAGACACTTTCTTTCCAAATACAGACCAGAAATATATAGCGATGCAGAAAAGGCAGATATGTTCAATAACTATTTACTGTCTCCATCTGGTAATAGACGTTTAAAGGACCACTAAGATTCTCATTGTTCCCCACCTCCAACATTTTAGCCCCCTCCAAATATCAATTGTCTACCCTTTAATTTCTAGCTTGTAGCAATTGCCATCACTTTCCCCCCAGACCCCATGTGTTATGTAGAAATAAAAATTCTAATTGCGGTCTTCAGTTCTCAAAGTGGATGGGCTTTTAACCAGGGTTGTTCTCTCACTATTGTGACTTTCTGGGCATCTAGTAAATTCTTAACTCCCAATTTTGGGTCACATTTTTCCATCTGAATTTTTGTTCACAAAGCCGATAGCCTTCTGCTTTGGGAAGCTGGCTCTTTAGCCGCACCAAGTATATTAGCGGTTGGGACTGTCTGCAGTTCATCCATAATGAATGTAATCAGGTCACAATCACTCCGGTCGGCAACCACCACCTTCCAGGCCAGTGAGCAAGGCCCGTGTTTGAGAGTGGAGTCTGGACGTGTGCCACCACCTTTTGTGCTCCGTAACACGCTGTCAGACAAGGAGGAACCGTAACTGCTAAGGCCAAACCTTGAGTTCTGCAGTGTTACCTTCCATACTCAGCATGTCACTGCTCTCCAAGGGATTACAATGCAGCTGCAAAGCTAGACCTTGCTTTTTGCTCCCCCACCCTATCAGTTCAATAACAGCTTAACCATTGAAGCAGCTCTAAGTTCAATATTTTACCATGGAAGTTGATGATGGAGCCAGCTAAGAGAGACTCAGGGTCTAGCTCCTTGTCAACTCACATCACAGAAGAGGCCAGCACAGTTGCTACAGGGCACCAAGGTCAGGGACCCCCAACTGGATTTAAAATAGTGTCTCTCATAATGCTGGTTTTCCAACAGAGGCCGTTGCAGAAGCCTACTGCATATTAACAGCATTGTGACTGCAAATGACATTTTTGTAATAGCTTTGTTTAAAGAACCCACTGGGGCAGTTGCCTGCTATTCAGAGACTTGGGGGGGGGGATTAAGAGCAACTGAGTTTTCTGTTCAGAACTCCAGTTACTATATTGCTCCTGTGCATGGACGCGTTCGCCCCACCTAGGGGCAACCTGTGGAAATTGAAGAGCAGAAGGGCTGTGGACAGAGAGAGGCATAGTGAGCCAAGAATTGGGACTGGCACTAGAGTCACTCATGGAAAGAGCTGAACCTCACCCGTATGAGAGGGAGGGGACTGTGAGAGCAGCTTTGCTATTAGCTAGTGGTCATGCCCTTAAGAATGAGTCCAGGAGCTGTCTGGTCTAGTAGGTTATGAAGTGCAGTATCTTCTGTGATGTAAAGAGCTGGCTGCACCCAGCCCTGTGTGCGTCCAGAGTAAACATTTACTGAACAGCCAGCCAACCAAACTAGCCCAGCTTCCCCACGGCTGACCCAGGAGTCAGGGGCGTGATACTGGCCCAAGGAATACGTCCCTGGGGAAGAGCTCCACCAACCCATGCCTCACTGCCCACAGGGGGAGGATTACAAGGGCCAGCTTGTGGTCAAGACTGCTGTCACCAAAGGCCTCAGATCATGGGCACTGCCACTATTGGCAAGGGGACTCGCCCCAGCCACCTAGATTACAGGGTTGAGGGTGAAACGAGGAGCAGTGGAAGGTGGATGGTCTGCTGCTATGGGAATCTGGGATAAAACACAGCCCATACTACTGAGCGGGGCTGACAAGTGCTTCTTTTGTAGCCAAGAGGGAGTGTTCTTATGGTGCTCAATGTAGTGGCAACACCCTGGCCTATGCTGCCCTAGAGGGCTCATACACCCTAGAAAGCAACATGAATACTCACACATACCACTACCCGCCGAGTAGATCCTAGCTGAGAACCACTCAATGGCGCATGGAAAGCAAGCTCAGGGGTGACCAAGCAGCAAGTGATCCATTGTTGGGCAAACTCAACTCTTCTGCTGAGGGGGCACAACTGGAGAGGACACTAGCAATGTAGCCCCTACTACACCCAGGGCACAGCCAGGCTGAACAGGGGAATGGTGCAGACCCTAGAGTGAAAGTCAGACTCTGGTTCTGTGCCCACCTCTAATTAATGCTGCACCTTTGGGCAGGTCTGTTTGCCTCTGGGCCTCAGTTTCTCCATCTGTAACAGGAAGATATTCCTCCACTTCTGTGAAGAGCTTGGGCTCAAATGGATGTGAAATGCTAAATGTTGCTTTTAGCAATACTCCTGCCTGGCTCACCAGCTGTTTTGAACCCAGGACCTCAAGCACCAAAGCCCAGTTTTCTAGCAGATCTCTCGGAAGTACTGAGTCCATGCTGCTGGGAGCAGTAGCAGAGAGATTTGTGAATTAGGAATGTTCCACACCAGCTAGGCCTATGGCCAAAGCAGTGTTGATGTGCGCAGCAGTTCTATGTTGCCACCATTGTTAAGTGACAAGTGGTGGGGATTGGATCTAGGATCTCTGCTATAAAGGTCTCTATTCCTTGGCATTCATTAAACCAGTAGCAGATACAAGCAAAGGATAGGCCCAGTGTTTAGGGCACTAGCCTAGGACTTGGAGACCCCCCCAGTTCAACTCCCTTACCTGCCACAGCCTCCTTGTGTGATCTTAGGCAAGTCCCTTAGTCCGTGCCTCAGTTCCTCCCACCTGTACAATAGGGATAAACAGCATGGCCTTACCTCACAGGGGTGCGTGAGGATCAAATACTGTAGCATCTGAGCTTCTCAGTCAATTTTAATTGGGAGTTAGAATACTGGATAAATGCCTTCCATGGTCCTACCAGAGGAGCAGCCCCTCACTGGTTTGTCTTACCCTGGCACTTGCCTCCAGCCAGTTCTGAAGGAGCGACTCCACTTTCCCCAGATACACACTTTAAAAACTTTATTTATATAAAAAAATCATTTTGTTTTAAAAGCATTACAAGAGCGCGCGCAGGAATCAGACAAAGAACAGGTTCCCCGCACCCCACAACAAGGGGTGCAGAAGAGAGCAAAATAGTCAGTTATTGGTTCCCCGCTGCAGGTGCTAAAGCAGTCTGTGGGGGAAAGGAGGAGTTTTTGGTTCATCTGGAATTAAAAAAGGAATTAGTGTTTTACATACATAAGAGTTAGACCCCAGAAAGACAGCTTGGATTTGTACTTCAGTCCCTTCCAAGGGAAAAAGGCTGGAAGCGACAAAGGTGGGGTTAGAGAGGCACAGAGATCTCCCAGCCCAGACCTTCTCCCTTGTGTAGTGCATGCACAGTGGGGGGAAAATGAGAATCCCATTTGAGCACACAAGACTAGAGCAATCCAGGTCCAGTTTGTGGCCTTAAGGGGAGGCTTACAGTTGCACTGTATGCAGAAGAGGGGCTAGGAACGTCTTCCATGGGGAGGCAAAGACACACCCCCTTCATCAGAGCACCCATGGTTTCCCCTTCCACCTGGCTGAATGGGGTGGGGAGGCCAAGACCACTTGGTGTTCCCACCTAAGTCCCTGAAGCTTCCCAGTCTCAGCAGGCAATCCCATTATGTGCAGGCTGACAATGCTCTCCCTTCCCCACCTCACTGCAATGAGGATTTAGGTAGGACAGAGAAGCCCCTACTTATCCCCACAACCCAAACATTCCTGGGAATCCAGCTACCCCTTGTGTCCAGGGGAGGTATCAACACAGTAAGGCCAGAACCCCAAGTGGGGAGGAGAGCAGAAGCTAGTCTATGCCAGAGATCCCCAACTCCTTGAATCCAAACACACACCTCCTCCTCCTCTACCAGGCGAGCGGGCCTACGAGTTGGAAGAAACTGTTTCACAGTGGCAAAGAAAGGCACGTGTCGAGAGACCGACAGACACTGCTGCATTCACCCAATGTGTATGGGATGGGGATAGTAGTTCCAAGCCAGTTTTTGCTTCCTATCACCACCCGTCCCAATCCATCACCCCCCTCCTCCCAGCATACCCCAAGCCATGGCACCTTTCAGACTTAGGACAGTTAACGAAACAGTGCATCTCTTAAAAAACCCGACACCCTCTTCCCATCGGAGAGCCAGCCCTGCCCCTGCTACATACCAGGATCTTCTCCCTCACATCCCTCGCCACTGTCTCCCAAGCTGGCTCCTCTCTCAAATACCTGCCCCTGAACAACCCATCCGGATGAACACTCACCCAGGCCCCACTACAGAGTAGGAAGCAAAGTGATCCAATCCCCACCCTTGCACATCCATTTACACACCTCTCCTCCCCCATATAAGAGGCAATAGGCCAACCAAACAGAAGTCCACTCAGGACAGGACTTCCCCACAACCACCATCTGGCATCCAAATGCAATCAATCATGAGACAGGAGTATTGCGATTTCCCCCTCCCAGCAACTGCCAGTCCCTACCCCTCCCATCACCACTGCCTGGAATGTTCCTGTATTCCCAGCATCCTTTGTTGCAAAGTGATCACACACAAAAATATATTCTATAGGCTAAGAGGCAGCGGTGGACTTGGACCCCTGCCTCCAGGAGCAGAGCTGATGTCTCTTAAAGGAAAAGCAATCCCAGTACAACAGGGCTCCACTGAGATCCACCTTGCGCTGTGAGTGCAGCAGGAGATTGTGGCGTCAGAGGAGGAGTTCCTTGAAGAGCCTGCCTTAGTCGCTCCAGTGAGATCCCTCAGAAGTATTTGGTCTGCAGAAGTTGCTCTTGGAAGGAAAGATAAAAAGGCGTCCAAGGATCGAGGGGCAGCCGTCTACAGAAGGGAGTGAGGGGGCCCTGTCCGGATGTCCCCCACCCCCAGGCAGAAGGGGTGCAGAGGGCCAATCATTTGGCTGGGTAGTTGGCACAAAAAGAGTCCAGCAAAAGTAAGGTAAAAATCAGTCCATTCCACCACAAAGAAAGAGTTGTATATAACATACTATAAACCCAAACTGAGCGGAGGCAGGGAGGAGACTAGATCTTCTGCTGTGGAGAGAGAGAGAGAGAGAGAGGAGAAAAGGTTAGCACCGGGGGGGGAGAGGAGTTGTCACCAAGCAGGAGCACAATGCACACCAAGCAAAACAAATCAAGGTAGATTATGGTCACGGATCAGCAAGTGATTGGGATCTGGAATAGAGTATGATTTGACTGGCCAAGCACCACTAGATTGCCCAAGAAGGTTATCCTCCAGCTTCCTGCTGTACATGAGCAGGAGACTCAAAGCGAGTCTGGAACATACCATAGGGGGATAAGCCAACAGGTCGTCATCCTCCTCATGCAGGGAATCCTGCCTTTCATCCTCCTACAGACACACATTGTTAGTGGGGTGTGGGGAAGGATGCAAGACACAGGAAGGGGAAAAGGGACGCTGAGCTTGATGGGTTGAGGGGGAAGACGGGGACTGTCCAAGGCAGCAGATAGGGCAGAGCAGTAAAGCAGAGTCATCTGACACAGCCTGGGTTCTCTCCTTGGCTCCTTCCAACACAGAGGCCAACAAGTATCCCTCTTCCAGTTTGCCTGTCCTGACCACCTAGGTCCAGAGCCCTTCCCTCCCCACCTGCCCCAGGTTTCTGGGATTCAGGAGAGCAGAGCAGAAGTAGCAGGGGACTAAGGAGACTCGAGAGGGGTAGCAGGTCTTACCATCAACGGTGCTCCCTTCAGCGGCTCCACGTCGCCCAGGTCTCCAGACCGGTCTAGGGTCCTATTGTGGTCTCTCTCCTCCAGTGTGGTGTAGTTGTTGTCTGGATTAGGAGGACACATGGCAAGTGAGACAGACCCCTCCAACTAGCAGCTGGGAGTTTAGGCTGCATGAAGCTGGTAGTGCCGGTCAAGAGCTATTTACAATGATTTTCCTGACCCTTTACACATTCCCTCCCTCGCCAGTGTTAGCTGAGATCTAAGCAGCAGGACATGTTCTAGGCAGATCCCCACATACTCTAGTCTGTGTGTCTGTGCCATAAGCCAGCTGCCAGTTTCTTACCTGGTCCCATGTTGCTCATCTGGATCTCCTCTCGGGAGGATTTCTTATCTAGAGGGAAAGGACGGGAGTTTCAGACACCAGCCTCAAGGGTACTCACCCAGCCAGGCAAACTCTCAGGCAGCAGATAAGCTGGTTCATTGTTTGGGCTCACTCAGGCAGGCAAGAATTACCTAAGCCTGCGGTGAAGTCAGCTGGCTCACAAACCCAATGCAAGATGCTATAGGGCCTTTACAAACACCAGCTACGTTCTCAGTCTAACCCATGGACTGTTACGTTTGCTCAACACCTCTGACAATGTCTGTGCTCCAAACAGCTCCCAGTGAAACCACCAAGAGTGAGGTGCAGAGTCAGCTCTTGGAACACGGAGCCCACTAACTGCACTGGACAACACGTTGGGTTTTGCAGCAAGAGCAACTGAAGCAATCTGAACATAGGGGGTCAGCAGGTATGACTGGACTTGTGAGGGCTGCACGGCTGTCTACAGGGCGTGACATACCTGCTTTTTGGTTCCTGTCAATGAGGGGCAAGGTGCTGTCATCGAACGAGTTACCTCCCTGGCTCCGAGAGGCATTGTTTAGATTCACCTGAAACAGGAGAGGGGCCTGTAACATCCATGACCCCACACATCCCAGTTGCTAGATCACACACACATAGGTCTCTTAGGCCAGGTCTACACTATCGCGGTAGTTCGATGGCTGGCAATCGAACTTCCGGGTTCGATTTATCGCGTCTGGTCTGGACGCGATAAGTCGAACCAGGAAGTGCTCGCCGTCGACTGCGGTACTCCACCTCGGCGAGAGGAGTACCGCAGAGTCGACGGGGGAGCCTGCCTGCCGCGTGTGGACCGCGTCTGAACCGCGGTAAATTCGAACTAAGGTATGTCGACTTCAGCTACGTTATTCACGTAGCTGAAGTTGCGTACCTTAGATCGAATTGGGGTGTTAGTGTAGACCAGGCCTTAGCCTGCGACACCAAGATACCTAGGCCTCTACAGCTGGAGCTCAGCAATAGCAGAATCTGGACTGATCCAAGTGTGCTGCCCTCTAGCGTCTGAAGGCCTGAAGAGAGGTCAAGCCCATCCCAGGGAAGTCTGGGTGCCGCTGACAGGAGAGGTTCAATATGCAGTGGAAGACAGGATTTGGCCTGGTGAATAAGCTTCTTTGCATTTTGACTCTTCTGCAAGGAGCTGTGAGAATAGCTGTCTATCAAGGGGGAAGTTTAGTGCCATCTAGGAACTTGCATGTGTATGTGGGATCCAGTATCTGAGCACCTCAGATACTGATCTCACACTAATCATGAAGCCCCATGGAAAGGCAGGACGTGCCCATCCCCATCTATCAAATGGGAATCTGACAGGGATTAAAGCCAGAATTCTAAGATCCGTTCCTAGAAAAGTAGCCAGATTGTCCGGAGTTCTCAGCACCCAACAGTATCTATTGAAAACAAGAACCTTCCCAGCCGCACTGAGAATGGGAGCTGCTGGCTTCCAAGTAACTGGCCCCACATGACTTGCCGAAGGTCACACAAGGAGAGCTGGGAACTGAACCCAGATGTCCAGAGTCCCAGGCCAGCACCTTAGCCACAGGATGGCCTTCCTCTCCAGGATTTTATATAAACACAGCTAGGATTTTGGCCCACCATGAGGCAGCAGGGCTACTGGGGGCACCAGGAGGGCAGGGCCAGCTTGTGTCCAGAAGGTTGCCCACTGCTCATCAGCAACAGGGAAGGAGTCTAAACATGAAGCATTATTAGAAACATGCTAAAAGGTCCAGTGGAGTTCCAAATACGAACCTTGTCTCTTCCCACCCTCTGAAAGCCAATGACCCCTCACCAACAACCTCCCAGTCACCTCAGGTACCTGGAAGTCAGATTTCTTCCATCCTTCCTTCTCCAGTGGCTTCCGCAGTTCCTTATACCCCCAAATTGTCTGCAAGACAAGGGCAGCGGCTCGGACTTCCCTCTCTGATCTGTTCCTGGAAAGAGCAAGACAAGAATGTGAAGATGCAGTACGGGGTAATATCCAGTCCCCTCTGGAGTCATGCATGAAAAGACAGAGGGTGGGGAGAAAGGGGGCAGGAAGTCTCAGGCAAGCTTCCAGCATATCCTTCCCCTGGGACACACCTACCCAGATTTGTTGATCAGCACCAGCTTCTCGATGCCCTGAGTCTCACGCAGTTTTTTGGCGGCCTCCAAATTGTCCACAATGACCTCGTTGATGGTGTTCAGGATCGACACCACCGTGTCCTCAGACAGGTTCTTGGCTGGGGTCTGCTGCCCGCCTGGCAGGTTCTTCACTAGGTTGGGGATGGCATGTTTACCTGGAGTGGGGGCAGGTGGGAGAATCAGGTCAGTCACAACTGGATCAGAAGGCATGAGGAACACTAAGCAGCCAGATGAATTGGGAGAGCCACGCAGGAGGGAAGATGAGTCGAGAGGATCATCCGGGATGGACAGAAGTGTTTGGTGATTCTTGGTTCTGATGCCTTTCCCCCTTCCTCCACAAAGCCTACTGGAGGCATTCTGGAAGATAGCACAGCACCCCCTGCCTCATGTTAGACGTGATTGCGGTCAGAGGAATGGAACAGAAGTCTGCAGTTTCCAGAGGAACGAGGGGCATCACAGTACCCTTGAGGTGGCAAGAGCAACAAGCAAGAACCATGACAACTCCTGGCTGATGCAGAGACAAGACATGCCCTCTGAGTGGAGTGCAGTTGGGGGTGGGGGAGGGGAGCAGCTACAGAGCAGACATTGCCTCCACAGCTCTTACCTATCAGTTCTTTGTTGCGGGAATCCACTGCCAGGTTACGCAAGGCGCCGGATGCTGCTTTCACCACCCGCTCACTGTCGTGGGTCAGGAGATCAGCGACAGCAGAGAGCCCCTTTTCCTGGCGCAGCGCCGAACGGATGTACCGGCCATACTGCGGGGGGACGAGAGCAGGGTGCCACGGGGTTACAAGAGAAGGCAGAGGACCGGTCCCCACTGACAGCATTATGCCTTCCCCCACTTCTATCTCTAGGGCTGGCACCCAGCCCCATACATGCTTCCACTGAGTCACTCCCTCCCTCCCCCAACACTAAGCAAGGAGGGTCCTCCCCAGGAGGCCTACAGGAATCATCCCACCCAAGCAGTCTGGTATTGAACAGCCAACACTAGATGCTACCAAGGTGGGCAATGCGCCCCAACAGCCTAATCAATGCAATACTACAACCGAGCAGAAGTGTCCATTATGGCGCTTCTCACACCTTCATCTGACACAGCTAGTGTGACCACATCAGAGACAGGATACACTGCTGGAGAGACCATTGCCTGACATTTGTATTGCAGGGAGCATGGCAGAGGCCTCAACCAACTCAGGAGTCCACTGTACTAGACATGTGGCAAGGGACAGTTCCCGTCCCAGAGAGAGTTTGAGCCAAGAATACAATCCACTATGCAGTTATGGGCAACTCAACCGTGGACTAGAGAAAGTTGCATTTAATGCTGGGTCAATAGTCTGAAAAAGGAAAGCAGAGGCTCCCCAAGAAGCTAGGCCCCATAATAAGCTATGTTATTCAGACAGCTTGAAGCAGCGTCTTGCATGTGCTGTGCAAAGGCGCAGATAACTAGCTTAGCTGGCCTTCGGCATCTGACTCACAGCTGCGGGACTCAAGATTAAAGACACTAAGCACCCCTTTGTGGGACACAGAAGTAGTTGTGGATGCTCCACGGGTCGGTGCATCCCTGCGCCGCAGATCAGAGATTTTAGGCAGCAGTGCTTGGTTGGGGCATGCGCACGCAGCAGCTGTCTCGCGGTGTCGTTGGCGCCTCTTGTAGCACGCACACAACCCGACCCACCTCCGTTCCTTCACCACCGAAGAGTCAGATAGCAAATACGCCAAAGCAGAGGGGAGGAGGGTGGGCAGTGGAGTATCCACACGGGGACACATCTTGAAGAACTACCGTTACTGCACAAGGTGAGTAACTACTTCTTCGAGTAGTAGCCCTGTGGATGCTCCACAGTGCCCCCCTGTGGATGGTAGGGGCTTCGGAGTTACCATGCTCTCAACCACTACACATGTAAGGCCAACTATGGTGTCTGACATAGCACCATGGGTGCTGGCATAGTGTTTAGCAAAAGTGTGCTCTGATGCCCAGATGGCAGCTCTCTCTCTAGCTCTAGATCAAGGGGACATTGTTTAGGAAGGCTATTGATGTAGCCATAGCAAGTGTAGAATGAGATCTGACGCCTGAGGGATGCTCTTTATTGTGTAGTTGGTAGCAGGTTCAGATACAGGTGGAGATCCATTTAGCTAGTCCCTGGGTCGATATTGCACAACCCTTTGATTGTTCTGTTGTGGAGATAAAGAGTCTAGGTGATTTCCAGAAGGGTTTGGTTCTGTCTAAACAGAATGCTATGGCTCACCTGACATCCAGTGCGTGGAGGGCAGCCTCCTGAGAATCCCTGCGTGGTTTAGGGTAGAATGAGGGTAAGTATCATTTGCTTTATGTGGAAGGATGTAGCTACTTTCGGCAATAATTTCAGGTGAGGTCGTAGCATGATTTTGTCTTTGGTGACTACAGCGTAGGGAGGTTCAGCCATCAGTGCCCCTATTTTGCTGACTTTTCTGGTTGATGTGATGGCCACCAGAAACACGACCTTCACTGACATATGTAGGAGAGGGCCGGTTGCTAGTGGCTCATAGGGTGGTCTGGTGAGACATTTGAGTACATGATTCAGGTCCCATGGTGGTGTAGGTTGTCGGACTTCTGGATATATGTTTTGTATACCCACTAGGAAGCATCTCGTAATTGGATGAGCGAAGGCTGACGTCCCCTCTGTCTTATTGTGAAAGGCTGTAACAGCTGCTAGATGTAATTTAATTGAGCTTATGGTCAAGACAGATTCTTTGAATTCTAATATAGTAGATAGAGGCGCCGTGACCAAATCTGTTTGTTTTTGTTGGCACCACATCAAGAATCTCTTCCACTTCTGGAGGCAAGTATTTCTAGTGGTAGATCGTCTGCTGTTTAGTAATCTCTGTTTCACTCTTTCTGAAGTCTAGTTCTCCATTTTGAAACCACATAGGAGCAATGCTTGAGGTGGAACTTCTCCGGACTGGGATGGAGTGTTTGGCCCTTTTTCTGTGACAGAAGATCCCCCATAAGGCAAGTGTGTGTGGAGCACACACTGCCAGGCACAGCAGGTAGGGGAAATCAAGTCTGAGCCAGGTGGGGACAATCAGGATGTGTGCTCTGTTGGTCCGTATCTTGTGAATCAGTCGCAAGATTAAAGGTATCGGCAGGAATGCATACAGGAGTGATGCGTTCCACAATATGAGGAAGGCATCCCCTAACTATTTGGGTGTTAGACCTGCTCTGGAGCAGAAGAGAGGGCACTATTGGTTAGCCCCATTTCTGGAATATCATTGAGGACATTCATGTATTTCCCATTTGTGTTCCTCTGAGAAGTGTCTGCTGTTGTGTTCCGGCACCCCGGTTGGTAAGATTGCCGTGATGTTTATGTTGTTGCGGATACACCAATTCCATAAGTTCAGGGCTTCTGTGCCTAGAGAGTGGGAGCAAGCTCCTCCTTGTCAATAGATATAGAGCATGCATGTGATGTTGTCGGTTAGTATGTGAATTGATTTGTTCTGTAGGATTGGCAGGAAGTCACGGCATGCGTTGTGTACTGCTCTGAGCTCTAGGAGGTTGATGTGAAGTTGAGTTTCCATCACCGACCATAGAATATCAGTGTTGGAAGGGACCTCAGGAGGTCATCTAGTCCAACCCCCTGCTCAAAGCAGGGCCAATCCCCAGACAGATTTTTACCCCAGTTCCCTAAATGGCCCCCTCAAGGATTGCACTCACAACCCTGGGTTTAGCAGGCCAATGCTCAACCACTGAGCGATCCCTCCCTCCACTTGCCCTATATGATGTGCTGGTCCAAATCAGCGCCCCAACCTATCAGGGATGCATCTATTGTGATAGTGATGGAAGGTCCTGTTGAAAGGGGATGCCCGTACAAACATTTTCTGGTTTCATCCACCAGTGTAGAGATGTGAGGACCTTTGGAGGCAATGTGACTCTTGCTTAGGTTGTGTTTGCTGGGCATATACACAGTGCTCAGCCAGCCCTGAAGACAGTGCATGTGGAATCTTGTGTGCCTTACGACGAAAGTCGTGCCCCCCATATGTCCCAGGAGCTGAAGGCAAGTCCTCACAGATGTTTGTGGACTTGTGGTGATCGTGGAAATGAGTGTTCATTGTCATGAACCTGTGGTTTGGTAGTATTGCCTTGGTTTGTACAGAGTCGAGGTAGGTGCCTATGAACTCCAGGTGTTGTGTCGGGGTTAGAGTAGATTTCTTTGAATTTATCTGCAACCCCAGTTTATGGAACAGCTCTATGGTTATTTGTACCATGTGTGTCGCCTCCTCCCAGGTCATACCTTTCAATAGGCAGTCATCCAAGTACGGGAAGATACAACACAGAGGGGTGCTGAAGTGTGCAGCTACGACCGCGAGTGTTTTTGAAAAAAAACTCGAGGGACAGTGGAGAGGCCGAAGGGTAGGACTCTGTACTGGTAGTGGTTGGATCCTCCTGTGAACCTCAAGAATCGTCTGTGGGCCAGATGTATGGTGATATGAAAATATGCATCTTGAAGGTCAAGGGCTGAAAACCAGTCCCCCTGTCTAGTGCTGGTATGATTGTGGCTAATGTGACCATTTTGAACTGCGGTTGTGGACAAATTTGTTTACCTTCCGGAGATCTAAGATGGGTTTCCATCCACTGCTTTTCTTTTTGGTGAGGAAATAGTTTGTGTAGAAACCCTTCCCTTTGTATTGATTTGGAACTCGTTCCACAGCACCCAGATACAGGAGGTGGTCCACTTCCTGTTGTAGGAGGTGCTCGTGAGAGGGGTCTCTGAAGAGGTACAGGGAAAGGGGGAGAGTGGGTGGTATGGAGAGAAATGGGAGAGCATAACCAGATCTTATGATCTCCAGTACCCATTGGTCCATTGTTATAGCTGTCAAAGTGTGGTAATATGGGCGTAAGCCGTGGCAAGAGTGTCCGATAGCGCTTAGTCTGGGGGAGGTCATTCAGACTCTCGACCAAGACTTCAAAACTGAGGTTTGGTTATGGATGATTGAGAAGACGGGGCCTGATGTTGCGGGGCTCTGTCTTTGAGGACGTTGTTTATTCTGATTATGGTCAAAATGCCACTGTTGTTGGGGGTGAAAAGATGCGTCTTTTTCTTTGATATGGTGTGTATCGGCATCGTTTGTTAGGTAGGGTGTATATGCCTAAGGTACGTAATGTGGCCTGAGAGTCCTTTATTGTATGTAAACCTCATCTGTTTTTAGAGTAAAAGAGCTTTTCGCTGTCAAAGGGAAGGTCTTCACCTTCAGCTGTAGTTCTTTCAGGATTCCCGATGCCTGCAACGAGGATGCTCTGCGCATCACTACTGCTGTGGCAGTTGTTTGTGCGGCTGTGTCTGCCACATCCATTGAGGCCTGTAGAGCCGTGCGAGCCATTATCTGTCCCTTGGTCATGATGGCCTTGAGCTGGGGACGTTTATCTTCAGGAAGATCCTCCAAGAATTCCTGCAGTTTGCCATAATTAGAGAAGTCATAATTTGCCAAGAGGGCAGAATAGTTCACCACCCTGAATTGGAGTGGGGCTGAGGAGTATATTTTACGACCAAAGAGGTCTAATCTTTTTTGTTCCTTGTCCTGTGTGGAACAGAACTGGGGTTGCTTGCTGCGGTGATTGACAGCTTCCACCACTAGGGAGTTGGGCTGTGGGTAGGTGGAAGAGAAAGTCCATGCCTTTAGCTAGGACGAAGTACTTTTTGTCAGCCCTTTTACTGGTAGGTGGTGCTGATGCAGGTGTCTGCCATATGGCCTCCGCAGGCCTCGTTATGGCTTCGTTAATGGGGAGAGCAATCTTGGCTGCAAATCCTCCAACCATCCGCCTCAGCCGTCTGTGCAGCTTCTCTTGTACCTCCTCTAGTGTGATCTCCTGGCTGACTGCCACCCTGTTTTGGGAGGTCGAAGCTCACTTCCTTGAGGTTTTGGAAGGCTGAGGATTGCCTTTGTCAGAAGTTTTGCTGGTCTGTGACGGAGTTGTTGGTGTCTCCTGAGACGGCTGCAGGGACTTTTCCATCATAATCATTTTAATGTGGAGATCTGTCTCGCCATGCCCTCGCTTTTAGATTTGTACAGTGATTTCATTTCTGGGGGATAGGAGTTTCCGCCAGGCAGCGGACACAAGATGCGTGGCCATCAGAGACAGACATTGCTTTGTGGTAGGAGTCGCATCTCTGAAAACCAGGTGAGCCAGGCATATTGTGTCCGATGATTTTTCCCGCAACTGGGACGTGAAATGTGAAGAAAAATGTAGAAATTGGTTAAAATGAAAACAATTTTTACTGCTAATCTAAGAAACTAAAACTGAAGGGAATGAAAAAGAAAAATCTCTCTCCCTCCACCCCCTGCCGCCCAAATAACTGGCTAACTAAACTCTAAACTATAAAAGCTAAAACTACCATGTAAACTATTTTCTTTTCTAAAGATTTTCAAAGCGGCAGCACTGCCACTGAGCTGCGTCTGCAGCTGAGGACTGTATAGAAGGAACTGAGGGGGTCGGGTTGTGCGCACGCTACAAGAGGCGCCAACACCACCTCGAGACAGCTGCTGTGCGCGCACGCCCCAACCGAGCACTGCTACCTAAAATCTCCAATTTCCAGCACGGGGACGCACCAACACCTAAAGCAGAGCACCCACAGGGACACTACTAGAAGAAGAAATAAGAGCTCCTGATTGGTCTTCCCTGCAACATCACCCTCTGTCACATCTGTCTCTCACCTCCTACAGCAGGAACTGCTTAGCATTCCTGCATGAGGCTTAACCTCAGAGAGAGCCCACCACCAGCTTGTGCAACCACTTATATTGCACACTAATACAGAGTTGATGCCAAGAGCACAGATGGCTGAAGACACTGGGCAGAAGGGGAGACGTTGGCATTTATGCTGAAGGAGTGCCCAGGCATGGCTCCGGAGGGAGGGGTATGTGCTAGAATTAGCATGTCTCTCTCCATGACATTACTAGTGTCTTTGACGCCGGGTTGGTCCCAGTAATGAGTCTGGGAGTGGGACATGGCTCCTACAGCAGCTTTGATGCCATGGTAATGCTGGAAATCATCAGTTACACCAATGCCCAGGGGCCCCAAAAAACCACCCCCCCCCCCCCCCCCTGCCGCGGCCACCTCCGGCGGGCGGGGCCCCCCCCCCCCCCCCCCCCCCCCCCCCCCGCACACCTGGTCTCCGGCAGAAGCCCCTGCGCTCTCCACCCCCCGCACCCCCTGTCCTGGCAGAAGCCCCTGCACCCGCATCCATACCCTATCCTAGGCAGAAACCTTGGGGGTGCCAGGGGAAGCCTGATTGCCCCCCCCCCCCCCCCCCCCCCCCCCCCCCACACCCCCCCCGCAAAAGCGCAGGGGTGACAGGGAAAGCCCCAGCACCTGGACACCCCCCGCAGCAGCCCTGGAGTAGCGCTCTCACCGCTGCAGCCCTAGGGCCAATGCACAAGGACAGAGGTTCTTGGGGCTGCAGTGGGGCGGTGGACCCTGGGTGGAACAGGGGTTGGATCCGGGAAGGGGCAGAAGGGCCCCCCTCCCCCACTTGCTCTGGCCCAGGAAACCTTAATCTGCCTCTGAGTGCCTGGCCCCCCTATGCCAGTACTGGATGGATGATCCCTCCTTTCTGATGTGCCCTAGCCCCACCCAGTTCCAAGGCTTCATTCTCTCCTCATTTTTAAGATCAAGTTCCCAGTCTGTCTCTCCTTGGAAGTGACTCACCGTCCAGCGACCAGCACACAGGTTCTGGATGGCTCCTGCTGAGGCCTCTAGGATGGCAGGGGTCTTGCTCTCCTTCAGCAGCGAGATATATATCCGGACTACTTCTGGTTGGAAGAGGAGCTCATACCCTAGAAAGCGAGACAGGGAGTAACAGGTAAGGCTTATCCGAGAGGTTCATTAAGTAACCGAGTAAGCAATGGCCTATCCAGTAGGTTAGACAATTGACACAAGGTGTAGGTTTTGCCTCTCCCCTTCCCAAGTGACTAGAAGTATAAGAACTGGATCAAACCAGTTTAGTTTTTAAACCATTGCCCCACAGCACTGGAAACTCGGACAGCACAGCACTGTGGGTGCCACTCCTGCACTAGCCCAGACAGTTACTTCCGTCAATGAAGTGTTGTTCTGCAATTCAAGCAGCAGAGCACTCAGATAGGTGCTAGAATAATTTTTAAAACCTAACGGTGTTACTAATAAAGGGTAAGGTTTAGCCGTTTGATGCGGAGTGGCCCTTTAAGCCAGTGCTCTTACACCAGGCCAGATTTAGGTGACGTCATGGTCACAGCAGCCAGCCACAGCAGTGTCTGACAGCTTGGTACAGGGAAAAGAGGGAGGACTCAAGCCTCATCACCAGTAGATACTCTTGGCACCTACAGAGCTAGTTCAAGCAACTGTAATGTTTACAAAAGCCTTTCCTGCCTACACATGAGCACAGCAGGGACACTTCAACAGTGTTCACAGCCACAACTGCACAGAACAGGTCTTCAAGCCAGATCAGCTGGAAGTGCTGGTGTTGCAGTGACATCCAGGTGACATTAAGCAGAGGGGTTTGGTCTCCGGTCCTGCGAAGTGCTTTACTGAAAAAGACTCTGCACCCTGATCAGTGGGTATACAAGTCTCATGAGAATCTGTTCCTTTGTTTGGAGTAGGGCTGGTGAAGTTTAATTTGAAAATTTTCTTTTTTTTAAAACGGCCTTTTTGAAAGCCAAAGTTTCTGCAAAAACGTTTTCTGAATTTTCTCATTTTGTCAAAAATGGAGTTTAGGTTTATTTCTTCTCCACACCTCATTTTCCAGTGGGGAACAGAGAGAGAAAGCCAAAAGTTCACAGATGTTTGAAGAGAGTTTTGAATTTTTCAAAGAGTTTTCACTCCATGGGTTTCAAACCCTCCACCTTTCCCAACCAGTTCTAGTTCTGAATGCCTGCAGCTCCTGGAGTTTAACACTCACTATTTGTTTTACCAAAAGGTGTAATGTGCACAGAGTCTTCCTGGTTTCAAGAGAATCTGGGACATTTGCCAATACCATTGCTGTACTTGTTTTGCACAGCAGGGAAGTTAAAGTTAACAGTAGCTACTGTACACTCGCCATGACAAAGGTATACCTGTTATCGCCCTTACCTTACCCAAGTCATGTGTAGCTCCAGTCACCCTTGGTGCTTTTCTGCTTCCCCCACACACCCCAAATCACCACAGTATCTGAGCACCTCATACTAATGTATTTATGCCCAACACCCCTTGAGAGGCAGGGTAGTGTTGTTATCCCTGTACAGATTGGGAACTGAGACCAAGTTACTTTCTCAAGGTCACAGTATGGCATAGCAAGAAATTGACCAAGTCCTAGGCTAGTGCCCTGACCACTGCACCATCCTCCCTCTTATAAGCCAAGTAGGAGAGGCTCTTCCCAGAACTCGTGTGTGTCATGGCTTTATTACACTAGGCAGCATTTATATTCATGTAATTAGTTGTCTGTATCTCCACCCCTCGTAAAACTGGTCTTTTATTTAACTGGCTTCTATTTAATGGAGTTTGAGATAAGATCAGCAGGCGCTGGGGGATGAGAGACGGGTAGACCAAATGCACCAGGGAGTATACCTTTTGCAGGACTTGTTCTTTTGGGAAAGTCCACTGTATCAGCACCAGGCTCTTCTAGAGGTTTTTTGCCTTCAAAAGGAATGAAAGTAGTGAATACAAGGTATTAGCATAGCTTATTCCACCACCTCCCAGCCAGATTACTCATTACACTTGCTCCAATTAGTGAGAGAATCAGAATAACTCTAGAGGTGCTGTTGGGACAGAGTGGGCATCTCCTACAGAGAGCATTCCTTAGCCAGAGTTGTGAACATCCACCCCACATGCACCCACTGGGAAGTGGGCAGAGGAGAACACCCAAACTAACATGTAAGAGGGAAAAAGACAAGAGTGTACTCACCTCTGGAGAACCACTCATCTATTGGTGAAGCGGAGAGAAGGACAGGAGAGAGAGGAAGCAGGAGAGGAGAGATACCAACAGGATCACAGGGTGGTTTGGCAGGAAAGCAAAGGGGAAGGGGGGAGGAAGAGAAGAGAAGAGATGGGAAAGGCTTGAAGTTAGTGGCGATCCTTCTGTCATTTCCCTGACAACACAGCATATCAACCCAGCACAGGGCCCTAAATACCAAGGGCTAGAGATACAGGCAGGGCAGTCTCACTGCTGTCACAAGAGGTCTTGAGGAAAGCAGTGATTTAGCCTTCTTGCCAAAGATTGTTAGTGCATGATAAGAAGCCTCATTTTCCTCCTCACTAAGACAGGCTTTACCTTTGCCTTTCTTGGCACCAAAGCAGCTGGCAGCGTGGGGCCCAGCATTGTTGGCGGGGTTAAGAGGCATTTCCTGGTAGCGCTCAGCGTGCGGGATCTCACGGTGGACTTGATACGATAGGTTCCGCAGCAGGCAGACACAGTTCTCGACCAGCTGAAGGGGGGAGAGAGTGTCATTTACAGTGAGACACAGCTGGCTTACCGGTCACCTGATACTTCAGAGCCATAAGGGATGGTGTGGAGGTTCAGAGGTCACAGGGAGGAAGGGGCAACTGTTACCTGGCTTAGGGCAGTAGCTCTCCAGCACTTCCATGCTTCAGGCTACTGCTTAAGAGGATAATTCCATCATTACCTCCCCAGCCTCAGATCCCCCACCCCACTGCTTGATCCTTAGATTGTGCTTTGCTCTGTGGGCACCAAGGGCTCAGTCACCTGCTGGCAATCAACCCATGGACCAGTGTTTGGATACCATGAATTCAGAGCAGCCTCTACATCCAAGCACAGAAAGATCAGTCCAGGCTTCAAACCATTCTGAAACTCAGTCCCCACCCCCACCTTCAAAACATCAGGTGGCTCCAGAATCTCTCCTCCCCTCCCGGCCCTAGAAGGAAGCGGATGCTGAAAAGGAGGAAGGAGTGTCACAGGAAGGAAAGGCAGTGACTGAAGACAAGTCAGTAGTACATCTCTTCCTAAAGGCACTGTCAGAAACAAAAGCAAAGCCAGATGCCAGCACCGGCACTGCTTTGGCCCCCACAGCATGCTCCCATCTACTGGGGATGGGACCGTGTTGCTCCATTACCTTGCTGTTGCAGTCTTTCTGGCCAATCTCCGACTGGACAATGTATATCAAGGCATCCACCAACCCGTCGCACTCACGCAGTTTCCGACGAGCCTCGCTCCGCTCAGAGCTCACGTTTCTAGAGGGAAAGAGAGCACTGGAGGGTGAGACGGCCACAGTGGCAGCACTTCAGAGCATCAGAAGGGCTAGATTGCTCTCATGTTCCTGCTCCCCACCAAGCTGAACCACCCAAGTCTCTCCCTGACCTAGAGAAGAACTGAGCTAGACAAGTAATAAGAGGCACACCAGGGACTATCATGCATCGGAGAGGCGATTAATACCTTCTCATCACCAGCACTACCACTGCCATGCAATTCTGCCTTTAGTCATCCAGACACCAAGTCTGGTAATAGCCCCTTCCCTAAAGAGCTATGGTGAAGAAGCAGCCACCAGCCTCCCGAAGGTGGGAGGGAAATTCCAGTTACAGCACAAGCTCAGCCTGAAGTGCCACAGGCTCAGATGCCCCCTTCCCATCGCCGCTCCCACAAATACCTAAGGCAGCCAGCGGTGTTGGTGAGCACCGACCCCCACTCTATGTGGCGTGGCTTGGAGTCCTCGTTGGGCTCTTTCTCCCAGCCGGAGCGCGGGATGATGACCTCGTCAGTGAGGGCATGCAGCGCGTGGTCCACAATGGCCATCTTTATAGAGTCATGAGAGGAGAGATTCCACAACGTCCCTGAGACGGAGCACATGCAGCCAGTGAGACCAAGGCACTACACAGGTCCCCTTCCCCAGCAACCACTCCCAGACCACCCATTACCTGTGATGACCTCAGTGAGGTCCATGTCACGGGCCTTGCGCAGCAGCCGCACCAGGGCAGGGACACCATCGCAGTTCTTGATGGCAATCTTGTTGTCCTGGTCTCGGCCAAAGGAGATGTTCTTAAGGGCCCCACAGGCCCCATAGTGTACCTCCTTCTTGGGGTGGTCCAGCAGCCCTACCAGCACCGGAATGCCCTTCAGCTTTCGCACTTCCGTCTTCACCTTGTCGTTGCGGTAGCACAGGTGCTGCAGGTAAGCCGCCGCATTGGATTTGACCGCATCCAGGCGGAAATTCAGCATGGCAATCACCTCAGGCAGCTCTGGCTGGCGCCAGTTGGCTGGCAGGGGCCCTCCCTTCCGCAGGCTGTCCAGGCTCGCCAGGCTGCCACGCTCATGCTGGGCCAGTGGGGCCCAGTAGTACTGATCAGGGGCCACCTCATCCACCAGCATATCCTCATAACTCCTGCAGAGGAGAGAGGAATGGAGTTAGAAAGGGGAACAGGGCATAAGCTCCATGAAGGGGAGCGGACCTCAGTCTCCAGCCCCTAGTGCTGGGAAACAGCAGAATCAGAGAGGTTAACACCAGACGTTCCATTGAGACACTGGGACTCTGAGAATGCTAGAAACCCTATGCCTCTGCACAGTAGTATCAGCATCCCCTCATACAGGCCCCCAGGACTAGAGAGCTCTTTCCCTCCGTCTTCATGGTTCTTAGCTTCTACAATGAACCATTTCCACTGACAAGTAGGGTGAAGGAGGCCAAATGTGGGTTTGTCGTCTGCTAGGAGCTGGACTGTGGCCAGCCAGGTCCACACCCTCTTCCCTTCAGCCCTTCAACCTAAGCCATGTGATGGGAGCAGCTTCCTTTGCCTGGACAGATAAGTGTACAATAGCATGACATTGCCCAGGGCAACTGCAGCTACTCTTTCCCCTCTACCCTTTGGGGCAGCATCTTACTAGGCTTATGGTGCCTGACTCAACAGAGCCCTAATCTCAGTCAGGGCACCTGGGTGTTACATCAGTATGTCATGATTATCCTCAGAGACCCTAAAAACACAGAAGCAGCAGCTCTACTTTCTTAAACAGGGATGGGTCTGCTGAACAGTTCCATCCTCTGGCCACTAGAGGGCAATGTAAATCCAGATAAGTCAGAGACGGAAACAACCTATTAGGTCATTAAGCCTGCTCTCCCCATACTAGTGAAGGATCGCTCCTATTTAGTATTCTCCAGAGCCTCGGCCAGGCTGGTTCTAAATGTTTCATGCAAAGAGGACTACAGTATTACAGAGTCATTAAGTGGGTACAGACTCCTGTTAGTAGCTGGGTCAGATTTCAAGGGTACCCAATTCCTATGGGACACAATAAATAGTAATAGTGATGCTGCTGCTGCTGCATCAAGACAGTCAATTCCTCCTTTTCCCAGGAGTCATTATGTAATGACTTTGAAGATACCAACGCGCACCGCTTAAGCGCAAAATTGCTTTTGACAAAATACTTTGAGAAGCCAAATGTGGACAGAGATGTTTTCACATAACTAATGTCGAAGTGTTCACCCCATCAACTGGTGTGTGTGGGGGAGGGGAGGGGGGGAAGGAAACGACTTAAAAAGCAAAACAAAAAAAATATTCTCCCTGAACAGAATGTGGCTCTGATCCTGGCCTAGGTGCTAATGCAATACAAACAAAATTACAGCGTTCCTACATGGGGACCAGCAAGGGAAAAGCCTATACGAATGTTAGCACTGGAGTGGGACTCTGGAGGAGATTTCACATCAGTTCCCAGTCCTGGCACAGACACGGTCACCCTGGCCAAGTCTCTGCACATCTGGGCTACCCCTCTTCTGCAGAGTGGAGAAAATACTTTTCTCCCATACTTTGATTTGGTCTGTTTAATCACACGACAGCCCTAGTTTGTTTCAATCCCTACAATGTTGAAATTAAATTGATCATCCCAGGCACAAAAATATACTCCTACTTGCCTGCCCTTTTATTATGAGAACAGAAAAGGTATTTGTCAAGGAACACAAATGGACAAAAGTGATTTGCCCATTTACTTGGATTGCAGATCTAAGAAGCCTAGTTTAAAAGTAAAGCCAGTCTTAAGAGGCGCTGCAGTAAGAGGCTGCTTAAAATGCCTTGCATGTGCAGTACCCATACAATGCAGTGTTCACACAGGTGTCAACCAGGCCTGAAACATACCAGCACAGTTATGTCAGTATAAGCACTAGTAGAGACATACCTATACTGACAAGAACTTTTATACCAGTATAGTTTGTCAGAGAACTAGTGTAAGCTATGCCTGTAGAAACCACTCTCTGTCATGCTGTACAAGCTGCACCTACACTAGGAGGGCTTGCCTGCAAAACTGTTCTAGGTCCTGTACCTTGGATCAGCATTGCCTAGAGGAGTATTTGACTGATCGTGCACTTGTCTCTTTGCATCTGATCATGCATAGGACATGCCCACTCTTACATTACAACCATGGATTATCTGAAGGGTTTCTGATTCCACTCACTGGTGAGCATGCTAGATATGTATTAGCCAGAAGGAGTAATGGTCTGATCAGTGGTACAGCTTCAGGTCAGACCAGTTACTCCTGTTGGGGTGGCAATTCTGTTTGAGAGTCACCCTCGGAAGCCATTTTGATTGGCAAGTTCTGGTCAATGGAGATTTTGTTGCTTCGCCACCATCAGTGGTTACCCTGCAATCCTGTGCCCCACAGCCACGTGCCATGGTGACAGGGTGGACAGAGACTGCAGAGGGTGACGTGGCAGGCAGTGACAAAAGGCTGAAGCTCTAGCGCCGCAACACCTGATCTCAGTGACAAGCCACACGGTAGACCGTTTGTTCCTATGCCATGGCTGTGGTCAGGACGGAGTACTCCTTAACGGTTACATCTGCTAACCGCAGTTCAGCTAAGTATTAAGCAGCCACCCTCAGTTGGGCTGCATCAGGACACTGGCAGTTCTGAATGCCTCTTGCTACTGTGAAAGGTCAACTTGTTTCTATTGACTCAGGACAGTCCAAGTGTTTCCATGGGAAAGCGAAGGAGGAAAGAATTCATCATCTACAGCGCTTTGATCTCATTCAGTTTAGCATGCTGAGATTTTGTGCGTGCTTAACAAGTTGCAACTAGACATGCAAGATGGACCCATGTCCGTCATGGCTGATTATAGCCAGTAGAGACACTTGGGGGGGGGGGGGGGGGGGGGGGGGGGGAGGAGAGAAGAGAAGGGATTGTTAATGGACTTCCTTCAGGAGGGCAATTCGCCAAACACACTTCAAAGTAATGTTTAGGACCTTGCTCAAAACAAACATCTTGGGGCTGTTAATCTTGCCAGGTACCATCCCCAAAAGTGGTAGATTTGAGACAAAAAGGTAATTGAGATAGTGGTGATGAGCCAACTCCAACAATGCTTGGATTCCATGGATTTCTGTGATCTTTATCAGCCAGTCTGTGGATAAAACAGAGCCTGTTCCACAGCTGGGGAGCTGGAGGACAAGGGCATGGCAGCCATACAGATTCTGCAGTTTGTGACACCAGTGATGACAGAGTACTGCTAGCTGCCAGGTGCAAGGATGCTGACATGAAGCGACCTTTCAGTGAGTTCAGTCCTTCCCAAATGAGAGCCCATGGGGCTGTGCTAGGAGATTGGGGCATGCTCTGGGGAGAAGAAGCAGAGCTCATCTAGTGCCCCTTCCTGTTTGGTGTCTGCATGAAGCCACCAGGGAGCTTGAGAGCCCGTTGCAGGTGCTGCAGAAACCCCAGGACACTTGTCTATATCATTCCTTTCACTGAGTAAGGATCTTGCAGCCTCCCGCTCCTCCCAGACTGACAGAGTGGGGGACCTGGAGGGAAGAGAGGCTGCTGCTCAGCCTCGATAAGGCATCAAGATGCCAGAGGCCAGAATGGCTGCAGACCAGGCTGCTCAGAAAAGGTTTCTCATTGCCAGTCCAGGCTCAGGACTAGCAAGTTTGATCCCTCTACGCTGAGTGGCAGGGCTTCTAGCCTTTGGAATTCGTTCCCCTTGGCAGCCCAGAGCCAGAGCTAAGTGACCTTCAGGGCTCAGAGAGATGCGAGTGGGGTTAACGGGATGCTGAACCAGGCCTTTAGTTTCATTCTCTGCAATCAAAGACCAGCTCTACAGCAACATGCATGCTAGGAATTTTACTGAGCATTCAGCTTTGGGGCTCAGATCCCCTCAGACACAGCAGCCCCAAGGCAGTGAGTAAACCTAGAGAGTCTCAGCTCAAAGGAGCCAAGACACTTGCACAAAGCCAAAGCCTTTCCACAGTGGTTTTTTTTTTTTTTTTTTTTTTAAATAAACACACACACACACAAGCAGGTTGGAGCATCAAATACTTAGATAATATTTAAGTGCAGGCAACAACTTCCTGTGGGGCTGTTCCTGTCTGGTTCCCTTCCTCACATTGGCTCCTCAGTTTATTCTGAGTAATAGTACACTAGCAGCCCTTCTAGGACAATACAGTGTCACAGACGCAGCAATGGCAAACTTTTATAGGACCCCAGAGTGCAGTCATCCAGTCAAAGCAACACTTGGCTAATCAGCTAGGGAAGTGACTGATCTGCACAAGGCACAGGGGAACCAACTGCTATTGTCAGATTTGACCGCTTCTCCCCCACAGGGTGTTCCTTCAAGGGGCTGTGCAACCCAAGTCAGCCACCAGCCCAAGAATCAATCCTCCTCCAGCCTGAAACCTCACATCCTAGGATCCCAGCTCAGTGGTAGCTGCAAGTTTAAGCCAACACGGCGCTGAGAAGTTGGCGTCTACATCGATTCACAGCAACAATGGATTTGGTGCTGTTGTGCAGTGGCATGAACCAAAATGCAGCCTTTGCTATCAAACTATTATTTTGTTCAACCCAAGCAGACTCAGGCTATAGGGCCAGGCTCAGAGGAACAGAAACCCCTGCCAAACTGGCAGGGCACATCTTGACACAATGCAAAGGGGGCGGGGGGAAAGAGAGGAAACCAAGGAGTCGCAGGACTCAGAATCAGTCCCTGTCTCCCTCATTAAACTTTGCCCACCAACATCAAAACCATGGGGCATGCTATCAAGAGACAGTATATCCAGAACAAAACCCTCTGGACAGCGCATGATAGCTCTGTAGAAGTCATTGCTGCAGGAGGTTAAATGCTGCAACTGCGTAATTTTACAGTCAGCTAGATGCCAATTGGGCAATCTATGACAATTAGGCTCCGACACAGGAGTAATAACCACAGCCCCAATACACACACAAGCTATTAGTAGTTGCCTCATGGAGGTACACACCTTTGTTGGAATCACCCACTGCTGGGCACTAACGGGGGGAGGGAAGGGGCGCACAATACTCAGAAGACAAGTGGTCTGCGACAGTGCGTAAAGCCTGCTGTTCCTACCTGAGTCGACGCCTGGGGTCTGAGGGAGTCCCCGCCCGCCTGGCAGTGCCATAGTCCGGCATCATCCCATAGTCCATGTCTTCGTAGCCAATGCTGCGCTGGTCGTCTTCCAGCCCATATGGCTCTGGGTGAAAGCGGTTCAGGTCCACGTTGCTCCCCCCTACCCGCACCTGTGGCTGGGGACCGTAGATATCCTGACGGCTCGGGGCCCGGTAGCCATCCATGGCGGGACGGTAACGTTCATCGATACGGGTCACACGGGACAGGCTGCCATAGCTGTGGTCGCTGCCAGGGTAGCCGTCCTCATAGGGGCGACCGTAGCCATCTGGGTAGTGATAGTTACGGGGGAGTGTGGCGGTGCCAGGCTGGCCCAGGTAGCTGCCAGGCCCCCCGTTGCCATTTTTACGGAAGTTCCTGTCCACTGTCTGGATGTAGTTATTGGAGACAGGAGAACCCTCCACAGGCAACCCATCCGGCCCAACGGGGACCTGCTGTACTGTCCGCGTGGTCACAGTCTTCACCACCTTCTTCACCTGAAGAGATGGGGAAAAGGAGATGCTCTCAGATTACAAATGCAAGGGCTGCGGATGTCCCCTAATCATCCCAACTCCCCTACTATCTCAGGCCTGGACTCCCTGAGCTCTGCTTGTGCCCCTCCATCTTGACCAGTCGCCCTCATCCCCAGCCTTCATTAACAGTGCTACAAAAACATGCAGGATAGAAAGTTTAGTGCATATGCCGTCTCACCAACCCCAGGGGAGGGGGGCCAGATCAACACTACTGAAGACAAGACAGTCCCCTTTCTTTTACTGTCCCCCTCACCGTGGTCTCTGTGCGCCGGGTGGTCCCATCATCAGATGTCTCCACTGAGACAACAGACATGGCACCCTCTGGGTCCTCCTCCATGGTATACGTCTCCTCCACAATCTGGCCTGGGTCCTGCATCCTGGGGATCGTGCTGTAGAGGAGGTGGCTGCGGTCCTGGGATGAGGGAAGAGCACACCAAGTCAGCCCAGATTGAGACCAGTGCCAGCTCCCACCCACAGGAAACAACATTTGTGACCTTAGCTCTACCTGTACCGTCTAGGCAAGGATGCACTGAGCCATCTCCTGGGTAGAGCAGCATTTCCAAAACAGTGGGTCCCAACCCACCAGTGGGTTGTGGGAAGAACCTAGGTGCGTCACCTGTCATTGCCCCCCATCCTCACGGGCCCCAGAAGCTCCCTCAACCCCATTCTAACTGTTGCTAGGCTGGCACAGTAGGCAGAAGCAATGGTGGCCAGACCAGGGGTAGGGGGGAAGCCAAGCAGGGTGCTCTCCTCAGCTTGATGCAGGGGGAAGATTAATTGCATGGTCCCCTTGTTGGGAGGGAGATATATGTGTCAGTTGGGAGGTGGTGCATAAAGGAAATAAAAGGATCTCAGAGCCTGGAGGGCTGTTCTGTGTTTCCTGTTGGATCCGGTCTTCCATTCTCATTTAAAGGAGTGATGACTGAACTACATGGGTGTAGCAGGAGCCCTTGGAGAGTTCTCGATCCACAACACGGTCAGGGCAGGGAGGGGGGTCCCCCCCCTTTAAATGGAAACCACTGGCTACAAGGAAACTGGTCCTGTGCTGCTGCTGCCCCCCACCCCCATGTACGTAGTTGACCGGAGAGCCCAGCTCTCCAGCACACAGGCCAAGCCCCATCCCTCCAGCTGCCACTACATGGCACGTGGCCTAGAAGTGAAATGGGAGGAGTGCCCAGGATGAAGGGATTTCTGGTAGCGTTTTCTGCCGAAAGTCAGAAAGCATCTATCCAGAGGAGAGAGGCTTCCCTGGCATCACTCTTGCTTGCTGGTGGCTGCAGAGAAAGTACCACGGCACAGAGGGGTGGGGAAGCCTTGCCAGCAACACCTAGAAAGATGGGTCCCTTCCACAAAGAGGAAAGACCAGCCACTGAGCCCCTGAACTCAGGCCTTGCCCCCTCACCCCCAACAAGAGGTCCCAGCTCTTCCCAGAAGTCCTTTACCGGTGGTCCGTTGAGTTTCAGATCTGGAAATTTCTGCCTCTCCAGGTCAGCATCGCCCAGGAAACGGCCGTTCTGAAACAAGCCACATCCGCTCATTATAATGCTTCCTTATCCATTGCCTCCGATGCATCGTCCTGTTGCCTCCAAACAAGAAAGGCCAGGCCCCATGCCCTTGGGGTTAGTGCCCCACTCCACCTTGTGAAGACTGTACTGACTGCCTCACACCCTAGTCTCAGCTCCAGACTCAGCAGCGGCCAATTCCAGTGCCCCAGAGGTTAGCAGCAGGTAGAGGTGGTAAGAGCAGCCAGGACGATTCCATGCCCTGAGATCTCAATGCCCTTGGTGAAGTGACAAGATCTGGGCATGGTGCTGCAAAGGTTGGTGCTACACAGCCAAGCAGGAGACTAATGCTGTTCCCCAGTGCAGTCTGGGGAGTCCCCAGGAGGAGTTAATAAGCAGCCATCTCTAGTGCTCCACCCTCCAGACATCCCAGTGCTCCACATGGCTGCCAGACTATTCAGAACTCTATGTACCTCCTACCAGAAGGGCTAACGCTCCCTTCTGAGCACGCACACCCCAACTCCACCAGGGAGAGAAGAGACAAGACATTTCACATCTTCTTTTGATGTGGAGCCACAGGCCACCAGATGACACATCCCAGGATCTCAGGGAGATTAGAGGGAACAGCGTGGGGAGTCAAAAGCAGACCACAGAGCATAATGGCTTTTCACTGCTTATGATCTTCACACACACACACACACACACACACTCACACTCACTTCTCCTCCCACTTACGGCCCAGGGAACTGTTCCCCCCGCCTTTGAAGAATATAAATCCCAGCTACATTGGAGTTAGACAAGTGGACGTTTCTCTCAGTAGCACCAGTATCCTCAGCCAGATAACCAAACCCTCTATGCCCAACACTGCCAGTGCAGCTGTCCTCTGGCCCTTTAAAACAGGGCACAGAGGGTCTTGACTTCTACCCCTTAACAAAACCCAACAGACAATAGCCACAAGAGCAGAAAGGAGATCAAGCCAGATCCACCGCAGCAGGGAGTACAAGTTAAGAGCCCTGGTGACTCAGGCAGACTCTTCCCTCATCCCCTCCTGGCACTTGCCCTGTCCCATTTGACTACTCCGTGTTTAAAGGTGGAGCCTGGGACTTCACAGTAGGGTACTGAACCCCCCGGTCTCTCCCAGGATCATGCAGGTGTGTGTGGCAAAGTCATTTGATCTCTTGGTCTCAGTCCCCCATCTGGAGCGATGGGGATAACAGCAGCTCTGCCTGCCACACAAGGCTAGGGGGTGGATAAATACATTGAAGATTATGAGATACCCAGATACTTAGACAGTGGGGGCCACATAATCACAACATCGCCTCTAGATTGGTGCAGCAGCAGATTCTTGGGGGGAGGGGGCGCGCACGCACACTTAGCTAGAGCCCAGACTGCCACTCAAAGCCCCCTGTGAGAGTTCTTGGACTCTGCCAGCCACATCCCCAGGGTGGGCACTTTGCAAAACAGGCGTCACGTCACCAGGTTAGAGAAGATACCAGGCAAGCACCCCAGGAGAGCAGAGATGCCAATACCTCCTGCCTAACAACTAGTTACAGGGCCTTTGGGGCAAGGGAGCCAGAGGCCCCTGGTTTTCTGTGCAGGGCTGCACCTGTCATGGAGTCCCAATCCACGAGTCTACAGCACTATGGAGATTGGCTCATATATCTGTTCCCCAGCACACTAATCCTACATTCAGATGTATGGGGAGCCCTCCATGAATCAGTGAGGGGGTCAAGCAATGCCACCTCACACCCCCAGACCTGCAGTTCATCTGGCAAATTCTTACAGCAGTTACTCAAATCCATTAGGTGTGGAGACAGCTCCTCTGGGAGGGGGCAGGGCAACTCTGATAGGAGCCAGACACTCCTCCCGCATCCACCATAGTTCATGCAGGAGCAGCCATAAGGGCTCTGCCGAGCCCCACGTGCCCACCTCTCCCCAAGGGGGGTTTACCTGATGCCGGCGGGTGAGGGTGCCGTTGGCCATCGTCTGGCTGGCGTCCTGTGGGGAGACCCGGACGCGCTCCAGCTGCGCCGAGACGTGGCGCCGCTCCTCCTCCAGCGCCCGGGTCAGCTTCTCAAACTGCGCCTCCTGCTCCTTGACGGAGGCCAGGATGCTGGCAGTTGACTCCACTTCCGAGTCGTCCATGGTGATGAGGGCCCCACACGGGGGGAGGGGGAGGGAGGGTGTAGGGCACGGGGCGTGTGAGAACACCAGGGTCAGACGGGTGAGGGGGGAGAAAGAGGGGAAGGAGCCCCTCACTTCATGACACAGTTGAGGGAAGGAAGGAGAGAAGAGATCAGAGGAGACAGATGAAATATCAATCCCAAGGCCAAGTTCTCTCAGCACTCAAAGAAAGAGCAAATGTCAATTCTGCCACCCTCCCCAGTGGACAGTAGCGGCTGGCCAGCCCAGGGCAACTGTCCTGCCATACATGGCAGAGTGTCACCTCTACTACAGGTAGCCATGTTAATCTGTATCAGCAAAAACAACAAGGAATCCTTGTGGCCCCTTAGAGACTAAGATTTATTTGGGCATAAGCTTTCGTGGGCTAAAACCCACTTCATCAGATGCATGGAGTGGAAAATGCAGTAGGTAGGTATAAATACACAGCACATGAAAAGATGGGAGTTGCCTTACTAAGTGTGTGTGTGTGTGGGGGGGGGGGTGTCAGTGCTAACAAGCTAATTCAATTAAGGTGGAAGTGGACTATTCTCAACAGTTGACAAGAAGGGATGAATCACATTTGTAGTGCTAATGAGGCCAATGCAATCAAGGTGGCCCATTTCAAACAGTTGACAAGAAGGGGAGTATCAGCAGAGGGAAATTAGTTTTTGTAGTTACCCATCCACTCCCCGTCTTTATTCAGGCCTAATTTGATGGTGTCCAGTTTGCAAATTAATTCCAGTTCTGCAATTAGAGAAAGTACCATGGCACAGAGAGGGGTGGGGAAGCCTTGTTGGGAGTCTGTTTTTGAATTTTTGTTGTTGAAGAATTGCTACTTTTAAGTCTGTTATTGAGTGTCCAGGGAGATTGAAGTGTTCTCCTACTGGTTTTTGAAGTTTATAATTCTTGACGTCTGATTTGTGTCCATTTATTCTTTTGCATAGAGACTGTCCGGTTTGGCTCGTTAGCACTGACCCTCCCCGCCCCCACACACACACTTGGTAAGGCAACTCCCATCTTTTCATGTGCTGTGTAATTATACCTACCTACTGCATTTTCCACTCCATGCATCTGATGACCTGGGTTTTAGCCCATGAAAGCTTATGCCCAAATAAATTTAAGTCAAGTCTCTAAAGTGCCACAAGGACTCCTCGTTGTTTTTACCTCTACTACAGGAAACCCTGATCTGTGCTCTCCGCTGCTCCTGCCCTCAAGTCTAGGAATGAGACTTTTCAGTCTTCCTTCTTTGACTAAGGCCTCACCAGGATAGGATCTGAACGTGCAAGGCAGTTCTCTACGCCCCTGTCCCAGTCCTGCCAGAGACAGTCTTCTCTCCTCTGAAGAGATCCCCTGGTGGATAGGAAGGGAGCCAAGCCTGACCAGGAGAGAAGCCTGTGTAAGTAGCCTAGAGGGAAATCTCCAAAGCCAGTAGTGCTTAAAACACTCCCATTTTATTCGAGGGGCATCTAACACTCCCCTCTCACGAACTGGGGGAAGGAAGGGTGAGTGACACAGTCATAAGACAGGTGGTGATAAGTCCGGCTGGAAGGGAGAGAGGAATCATAGGCCCCTCCACCAGCTCCAGGTGAGAAGAGGCCCTCTAGGGAGGTGTTTTGACTAGAGTTTTGTTGGGTATCTGCTCTGGTAAGGGGAGAGGCTTCTTGCCACCCCATTCTTTGATGGAGGCAGAGTGCTGCAGTTTAGAGATTACCCACTTGCCAGTCCATGCTAATTCAGGCCAGAGTTTCACAAACCCCATTAGACACTGTTCCCCTAATGCCCCATGAGGAACATTCAGCTTCCACATTGACTTTAGACAACATGAATCTCAACCCGGTGAGACCAATGACACTAGGACAACCTGCGAGGAAGGTCTGTGACCCTAAATCCTAAAAAGGCAGGTGTCACCCTGCCCTCTGACACACCTTCTGTATTTGAGAATTACATATAGTGAAAAAGAAGAAATCAAAGATTTTAATTAAATATTAAAATAAACAGTTTTCCATACACACCTGTAAGGAAGGAAGGTCGGATTTGATTGGCTAAGGCACAGCACAGCCAGGTCTAGATGTAAAAAATCATGGGAGAAGCAGCCCAGCCACCACCAGTGAGGAAGCAGGAGGGAAGAGAGCTGTAGACAGAGTTGGGGAAAACCAGAGTGAATATAACAAAAGGGAAGGAGGGAGGCAGGCAACAGAGGGCAGGCTGGGACTGAACAGGAGTGAAGGGGATTTTGGGAGGGGACATGGAATTGCTCAGTGTGATCTTCAAGTACCATTTCCACCCCCTTCTGCAAGGGATTGGGATGGTCATGGTCATGGGAGAAGAGAATGCCTCATTAATGGGGGCTCCTCAGGGTCAGCTCTACACACCTTGTGCAGCATCCAACACAGCAGATCTTTACTTCCTGCTGCAAACTGGCAGTGACCAGACCTGCCCCAGTGCTGCCTACCCAATTCCAAAGGTCGCCGGTCCCCACTACCTCATACCGTCGTCCACATGTACTCCCACTAGCTCACCAGGGGAAGGTAGCCCTTCACTGGCACCCTCAGCACCCACTCTCCTGAGAAACCTACATTAGAGTCAAGGGGTGGGTCCCCCTCCTTCACCCATCTCAGAGCCTCCACATCCCAGCAGATCTATTAAGATATTTTAGCAACAGATACAGCCATGGCAGGGAGGGCGGGCATGCGGGGACTAGTCTGGCCTCTGCACCAGCTGCCTGGCTTGCTTTCCCACGCTCCCCAGCAAGAAACCAGCGTGTGGAGAGTGGGCTGCATATAGGCTGTGCACCCAATGTTACAAGGGAGATATAGGCACGGTTTGAAGAACAGACACAGGGTGCGGGGACAGGAAGTCTGTGCTGCATTTCTTCCTCCTGCTGATGTCCCCCAACCCACTGTACCCTGCTATTCCAACCCTGGGCTCCACATATGCCCCTCAAACCCAATATACAGCAAACCCAGTTACTCCAATGCACGGATCTCTAAAGCAGAGGCCTTCTAGTCATTTCACTTGTGACAGTAAAACCAAACCAAGCTTGCCCCTTTTAGCAGGTCTTACTCCTTCATCCTCCAAGACCTCTTTAGACATACAATAGCTTTCTTGGCTTCAGTTCTTATCAGGCACTACAGCACAGAGAGGACTTTGAGCCCAGCAAGAGATTTTTAGTTTGCTTTGGAGACAGTCTGAATTGCATTTGAACATTTGGTGGCCTCCGCCCTGTAATCTTCCTTCACCAATAAAAAAAAAATCCAGTTCTACTGCTGGGCATATGCTAAGCACGAGCAGATGAGACCACGATATGCATGCACACACCCATCCCCACCAGCACTGCCTCCTCTCCCAACACACAAGTCAGTTTGCTTTATCTTCCAGCACTCATCCTAGTCCAGCTGGGTTGCAATGCAGCAAGCTGATAGGTACCTGCAAAACCTAACAGGCCTGCTGGGCTTTGGCAAGGGTGTGGGGGAGGGAGATCCCAGCATAAGCTAGAAACTACCTGGAGCCCAGCTGCTAGCATCATGCAATATCAAGATCTAAGCTTTAAGTTAAAAATAATAATAATAAAAAAAAGGTCTCATTTTTCAAGCCTTCATGATTAAGAAAACCTTTGAGCTGTATCTTGATGCTGCGACACCTGTCTGAGTCCACAGAAAGCCTGACACAGCTCGGGAGCATGCAACAGTTTTATTATGGCTTGCCAGAGTGGTCTTAGTGCCCTCCCCTGCCCACACACACCCCTCTTCTGCTCAATGGGGGAATACTCCCTCCTCCAGGATGGGCCCCTTTTCCACATGTAAACTGGGTCATGGTTTTGGGGTGAGAAAGAGGCCCCAGTCTGTCCAGAGACGAGTGCTTGCAGGCTGCCTGCTAGCCCCAAATGGTTGGTGTGAGTGACTTTCCACTGCCACTCTAAGCAAGGGTGAGGGCTGGGCCCCAAGCTGCCCATGGGCTCCAGCATTTATGGGGTACTGGGGCGGGCACAGACCTGTACTTAGAGTTTTGGCTTGCAGTCTCTGAGACAGGGCAGTGCTGGTGACTTGACAGACAAACCTCCCCCCCTTCGCTATCTAATGGGCGAGGACTGCCCCTGAGGTGCTAGCCAGTGAAACACCGGAAACCAGCTCCGTCTCCAAGGACGGAGCATAATCACACCCTTGGGTCCCATAAGCCCAGGGGCTTCTCAAAGCCATTGCCAGAACTTTTGACCTATTTGTTTTGCTTCTCCAGTGTTAGTTTCCAGAGCAGAATTTTGTCCTGTGCTCCATCCTGGAGAAAAAGCCACCCCCTCCCCAGAGACCATTTATTTAGGGGTCTGGCCCCCAATCCCAGCAGTGTCATTATTAGACAGCTACTCCTGTCTCTTCATAGCACATTTGTGACAACAGCTCCCCACCTTTCCTCCCTTGGCATCAGCTGCCCTGTTAGCCATGTGTAATAGGTAGTTTTCAAAGCAGAAAAAAGGACAGTTCAGTAGTCAGGGGATGAGCCTGGGACTTGGGAGCCCTGCGTTCGAGTCCCTCCTCTGCCAGACTCCTGTCTGGACCTTGGGTGAGATTTCTCTTTATTGACAGGAGGGAATTGAGGCAGAGCAGCTAATAGCGCCATCCTGCATCAGAGGAGTTGCAAAGATAAGTATTTAAAAGATTGTGAGGTGCTCAAAATACTATGGTAAGAGGTACCTAAAAGATATTGTAGCCTTCTGCCTAGCTGCCAGCTTAGGCCCAACTGGATGGGCATCTGCTGTCACTGGCATAATCGGCACAAGAGCATACTTAGCAAGCCCATGTCCTTTGGGAATCTGGTTTTAACAGATGCATTTAGCCTGTTCTTTAGTTCCTAACAATGCAATGAACAGAATGGTTAGGAGTATGATGTACAAGTTATGGGAATGTAGCAGTAATGAGGCAGTTTCCTTCCTGTCTCCTTCACATTAGAGCCTGCGAGACACAAAGAGAAGGGGCGAAAATTCGGTTCCTTGCCCACTGTGTCCTTATTCCAGTCATGTTGGGCTTCTCCAAGACTCAGCCAGGCACCCTTCTGACCAAAATTACAATGCCAGCATTTTCCAAACAGTAGCCCACACAAGGGTCAGACCTGCCATGACATTGAGGGAAAGTTGTGACACCCTGAAATCTATGACCCCACCTCCGCTCAGAGGGAGAACCAGCACTGTAGAGAGATCCGTGTTCCCAGTCAGCCAGCCAGAGGGCACTTAACAAGATGGTGCCTTTGCTTCCCTCTACCCACGGTGGAATACATCTGTGTGAGCAGCACTCCAGACGACGCAGACACCCACATGTCAGTCTGGTTCACTTGTTCAGGCTCAGCCTTGAGGACCAGACTGCATCAAACACACAGTCCACCAGATCAGGCCTGTCAAGTATCCATGACTAATGGATATAAACAGCCCCACGCTGGCACAAGTACTCCCCAATCAGAAACCAGGTACAATCTTCCTCCAGATGAGTGTGTGTAACATGGAACTTTGGCAGACCAAGTGTTCATGGCTATTACCCCTTTATCACAGTAGCACCTTGGAGCCCTGTTGTGCTAGCTCAGGGGTGGGCAAACTTTTTAGCTTGAGGGCCACATCTCGGTATGGACATTGTATGGCGGGCCATGAATGCTCATGAAATTGGGTGTTGGGGTGTGGGAGGGGCTGAAGGCTCTGGGGTGGGGCTAGAAATGAGGAGTTCAGGGTGCGGGAGGGGGCTCCAGGCTGGGACTGGGATGCAGGAGGGGGTGAGGGCTCCGGCTGGAGGCGGGGGCTCTAGGGTGGAGCCAGTAATGAGGGATTTGGGGTGCTCCAGGCTGGGACTGAGAGGTTCGGAGGGCAGGAGGAGAGATCAGGGCTGGGGCAGAGGGTTAGGGTGCAGGCTCCAACTGGAGGTGTAGAAAGGTGCTCCAGGCTGGGATCAAAGGGTTCAGAGGGCAGGAGGGGGATCAGGGCTGGGGCACGGGGCGGCTCAGGGGTGCAGGCTCCAGGTGGCACTTACCTCAAGCAGTTCCTGGAAGCAGCAGCAGCAGCAGCAGCATGTCCCCCATCCGGCTCCTACACAGAGGCATGGCCAGGTGGCTCTGCGTGCTGCCCCGTCCGCAGACACTGTCCCCGCAGCTCCCACTGGCTGTGGCTCCTGCTTCCAGAGCCCCCCGGAGCCACAGCACGCACAGCACAGGTAAAGCCCCTAAACTCCACCCCTCAGCTCGAGTGCCGGAGTGGGGTAAGTCCCCGATCCCACTCCCCAGCGGAAGCTTGAGTGCTGGAGTAAAAGGTCTGACAGGCCAGATGCGGCCCGTAGTTTGCCAACCCCTGTGCTAGAATGTGGTTTAGGGTAGAATACCAGGAGAAAGATGTCCTGGTTGATGTGAAATTGCAAAACAACCTTCGGGAGGAAAGCAGGATGGGGCCTGAGCTTAACCTTGTCCTTATAGAAGACGGTGTAAGGAGGCTCTGATGTTAGGTCCCTGAGCTCAGACACCCTCCTGGCCGAGGTTATTGCTACCAGGAGCACCACCGTGTAAGAGAGGTAGAGCAGGAAGCATGTCACTAACGGTTCAAAGTGGGGGGTCCATGAGTCTAGAGAGGACCAGGTTGAGGTCCCAGGCAGGGACAGGCTGATGGACATTAAAAGGACTCGACAGGCTCTACCCTAAGAACCAGCTGACCATGTGGTTAGCAAACACAGAGCGGCCCTCCTCGCCTGGGTAAAAGGCCGAGATGGCGGCTAAGTGCACCCTTATTGAGGATAACTAAAGCCCCTGCTGCTTCAGATGGAGGAGGTAGTCCTGAATAAGCGGCACCGAGGCTAGCGTCGGGGGCAAATGGTGCTGCACTGACCAGATTGAAAATCTCTTCCACTTGGCAAGGTATGTGTCTCTCGTAGAGGGTTTTCTGCTGCCAAGAAGTACTTGCCTAACCTGAACAGGAAAGCTCCATCGGGTTTAAACCATGGAGCTTCCACACCATGAGGTGAAGCGACTTGAGATTTGGATGTTGAAGACAACCACGATCTTGTGACAGAAGGTCTGGGCAGAGTGATCGGGGCGTCTATAGACGACATGTCTAGGAGAGATGTGTACCAGTGCTGACAGGGCCAGGCTGGCGCTATCAATATGACCTGAACT